CCTTTGCCGCGCTCAGCCCCCCGCGTGCTGCCCCTCGGACAGGCGCAGGCACTTGCGACTTCCGCTATCTCCCGCGGGGTTGCCCCACACCGCAGGCACCAGGGGACACCACAGTACCTTCTAATTACCCGACATTTTGGCGTGCACCCCCCGGCGGTTCCTAGCTGCCGGTGGCACCCCCTCCGTGAGCGCCGCGCGGCCCGCCCTGGCTAGGCTCTCTTCCCGCTGCTCTCTTGTTGTCTCTCTTCTTCTTTGTCCCGTGTGCAATGTCGGCTCCTGCTTCTTAGCTGTAGCTGTGGACGGCGCGCGGACTTTCCGCTTGCGCTCGCGAGCAACAGATATCCCCACCAGCCCATTCAGAAACAGTTTGCCAGGCGAGTTGAACCGTTGTTGTGAAAAGGTTCTCGGGGGTCTCTTGGAGCCATCTTGGGCTCTCTTGAAGTCCTCCTGGGGCTCTTTTGGGGCCATCTTGGAGCTCTCTATTTACCTTTTGGGCGGATTGTTAAACCACCTACGGCCAGAGGGCTGGGATATCACGGAATAGTCGCAAAGTGTTGTCAATGGAATTAATCATCTATTCTGTATCGGGGCAGAGGTGCACATGCGGTGGACAGTGTGGAAATGTAGTGCCACAGTTTGCCAAGGCACGGGCGCACGGCATGCGTCGCAAGATTCGTCGAGGCAAAGGTGGGATATCGTGGGCGTTGGATTGCAACCAATTGTGGCGAGGGCAATTTTACGCCTTGTTTGGAGCATGGTTGCCACGCGAATCGAGACACCTCTGGCTTGCGCGGAGATGGAGGTGGGGTAGCGGTGGATGACGTCCCCTCCTTTCCCTCCCACATACATCGAAAACGCTCCAAAACGGCCCCAAAATGGTTTCAACTGCCCTCGGGGCCCTCCAAGGTTCCCCCCAAGAGGCACAAATGGCTGCCAAACCCGGGGCAAATCAATGATACGTGCGTTCCGAGGCCTCAATATGGCCCCAAGAGCGCCCGAGAGCCCCTAGAGTACCCCAAGAAGGCCCGAAGAGGCAATTTTTGAGCCTCCGATGGGGGGACCTGAATTGAGGACCCCTCTTCTTCTTATCTACAGAGGCCAAAACGGCCCCAAGAGACCTTTCAAACCCGCTCAACGGGCCCAAAAAGGGCCCCAAGATGGCCCCCCAAAGAACCCCAACAAGGCCCCAAGCGGGTCCGATGAAGACCTCAAGAAACCCCAAGATGGTTCCAAGACGCCCCCGAGAATCTCTCACAACATCGTTTCAACTCGAACTGTTTGTGAATGGGCTGGTGAGGATTTTTTTTTTGGTCGGCGGCTCCAAGGCAACGGTCAAGGAACGGAAGCGGCGTCCGGGATGCGGCACGGTGCGGATTTGCGAACACAGCCGCCACTGTCGGCAAGCCAGTTCGCACCTGCACAGAACAAAACAAACTAAATTCACAAGCAAACGCACATAGGCGCAGCAGCGTGAATCGAAGTAAACGAGCTGCAGAATTTGCGAATACAGCGGAGTGAGTCGCCGGTCCGGCGCCAGACTCCAGCCACCTGCCCACGCCGAACTACTGGTGAGGATACGCGAATCGTCACGACTTGGCACTTGGCATGTCGTGGTCGCGACAGAAAAACTGGAACGGCGGTCGCACTTATAATCGAAATTGGAAACAGCAGATGTCGCAACCATACATTGTACTAATATTTCCATCGCCCGTAGCGTACCAACCGTATGCTGCAATTTGTAGCGTCCCAAACTTCGATAGCAACGCAGTCCAACGCGCGTGAAACATTTGTGGGAGACGCTGACAAGGACGCCGGAAAACATGCCTGGGAAGCTTGCAAGCTCGGGAAAGGAGCGTCGTAAGAGCTCCCGAGGAGCTTCGAAAGAACCGCGGGAAAAAGGCAACCAGCACGCGTATTAGGAACGAATAGGAAAACGCTCTCGGGGCACGCTGCCACGTCAAGCACGGCGCTGCGACGCTGCCTGACCGGGAGCCCTGCCTGCCGTAACTGGCGTAGCTCTCCCTGCCAGCTTCCAAACGAACCTTACTTTGATGCATTTCTGACATCGTCTGGCATTGGGGTTGGAGCATGGGAGCATTTGGCACGGATGCGCTCGGTCGTGCGCTCTGCGCTCGGTAAGCGCGGCTCCGACTCGTAAAATTGTTTCGGCCTGGGCAGGTCGTAGAACGTCCCGGTAGCTCCTCGGAGAGATAAGAGGGTTGTTAGCAGGAGCTGCGAAGGGTCTGCGGAAAAAAGGCTTCAAGGACGCGTGTTGGGAACCAGTAGGAACACGCTTGACACGCTGGAATCTCAAGCAACTCGCTGTGTTGCTCCCTGACCGGGAGCCTTGGAGAGGAGCTGGCTTGGCCCTGACTGCTGGCATCTCATCCAGCAACACTCTTAGCAATTCAAGGAGCTATCCAAGATAATATGGTAAAACATCGCGCGACATGTCTTTCATAATCTTGGCGTCGGCACAATCGTGTTCAACGTACATCTTACGGTGCACCTTGCTCCTTGTCCTCCCCGTCATCACGCCCCCCCAATTTTCATTACCTGTATCGCACCTTACATGTTTACGTCATGATGCGGGCGTAGAGACAGGATGATATACCTGCCAGAACGCACATGTGCAACCGAAGGAACTGACACTGAAAGTTATCAGTCGGGGGGGCGTTTGCGAAGCGCACGGCTGGGGGGTGCATGGGATGTCTTCTGCCAACATCTTCGCCCTCCTTTGCGCTCCTTCGCGCTTCTCCCGAATCCAGCCCTCCCAATTTCACTCGTTCGCGCCCGCTTTACTCTGCCTCCCACCTCACCCGCACTCCTCCCACCCTGAATTGAACTCCTTTTGTCCCTCGACCCTCCTCACTACCACGCTCCTCCACATTTCTCCCAGCGTCCGCGCGCTCCTCCGGCCTCCTCCGCACTCGGAGGTGGTCAATTCGACAACCAACTCGGCAACCGCCGAAGCAGCCAACGAGGTAATTGACGAGGCAGCCAACGATACAGCAAACTAGGCAATCGATGAGGCAACGGGGAGCTCGAAATAGGGCCATGCAGAAATGACCGTTCCAAATGCATGCGATTCATGCAATCTTCACGCTTCAACAACACGCCTTCTCGACCTGGCCGCGTGGGTCCGCGTTCCCGACCCGCCCGTTAGGGTTCACCCGCCTGATGGGCCCGTCTGGTTCTGCCACGTGTTTTCTGTTCCCAGCCCCCCTCCCGCTAATCCCGTGCTCCATCCTTCTCCCGGCCCCTTCCATCCGTCCTCTCTTCGCCTGTTTCAGGGGCTGCGCCAATTACACGCAGCAGGTAAAGAAGATATGCCATCCAGAGGGGGGTACGATCGAAGACGGAGAGGGCGGGTACCGAGGGTTTGGGATGTAAGTGTTGACTGGCACGTGCCCAGGTTTGAGCAAATTGTGTAGAATTTGTTGTTGTTGTTGCTGTTGTAGTTCGGGGGAAGATTGTCTCTGATAAAGACAGGGTGCAGGCCCCGAGGGGGGCACTCCAATTGGAAATTAGCCTGGCGAAGGACCCAACCATATGCAGCTGCGAAAGCCGCAATTGTGACTATCTTCATCGGTGGCACTCCCTATGGGGCCGCGAAGCGTGCGAAGGGCGTGTCAGAGTGGGCGCGGCAGACACATGCGGACGGTGTCGCTGGGGCCTTCGGTCGACCTCCCTATGGGGCCACGATGCGTGTGAGGGGGGTGCCGAAATGGGTGTGGGGGGCGCATGCGGGCGGCGGCACTGGAACCTTCGGTGGAGCTCCCTATGGGGCCACGAAACGTGTGAGTGGGGGTGCCGAAAAGGGGAGTGGGGGACGCATGTGGACGGTGACACTGGGGCCCTCGGTGGAGCTCCTATGGGACGACAAAACGTGTAAGAGGTGTGCCCACATGGGCGCGGTAGATGCATGTAGACGGTGGCACTGGGGCCTTCGGTGGACCTCCCTATTGGGCTACGACACGTGTGAGCAGGGGTGCGAAATGGGTGTGGGGGACGCATGTGGACGGTGGCGCTGGGGCCTTCGGTGGAGCTCCCTATTGGGCTACGAAGCGTGTGGGTGGGAGTGCCGAATTGAGTGTGGGGGGCGCATGTGGGCGGTGGCACTGGGGCCTTCGGTGGAGCTCCCTATGGGGCCACGAAGCGTTTGAGGCGTGTGCCCACATGGGCGCGGGGGACGCATGTGGGCGGTGGCACTGGGGCCTTCGGTGGAGCTCCCTATAGGGCCAACGAAGCGTGTGGGTGGGAGTGCCGAAATGGGTGCGGGGGACGCATGTGGACGGTGGCGCTGGGGCCTTCGGTGGAGCTCCCTATGGGGCAACGAAGCGTGTGGGTGGGTGTGTCGAAATGTGCGCTGGGGACGCATTTGGACTGTGGCACTGGGGCCTTCGATAGAGCTCCCTATGGGGCAACGAAGCGTGTGAATGGGAATGCCGAAACGGGTGTGAGGGTCTCTTCAAAACGAGGACCCCACACCACAGGATTGTTGGGAAAAAACACGATGTGCACAGGTGATGGGGGGATCAACAATAGTTACTCGTCAAGAGTGAGAATGCCAACGCTCCCGCCTGGCACTTCCTTACAACTTGTTCAAACTCGCAATCTCGCGCGGGACATTTGAAACTCGTACTCAGATCGAGAAAGGGGGAAGCGGGACAAGGGACGGATGAGAGGAGGGGGTGTAGGAGAGATGGGGGAGTAAGGGCGTTGGAGAACATACTCCCCATTTGTGCATCAATAGTCGGATGCGCGCCGCCAAGTAATCTCTGCTTTGTTGTGTCCGCCTCCGCCTCGCAAGGCTTAACGATAATCATAACGAGGGCACTGCGTTGTCCCTCAATGCGTGTCCGTTTGGCCAAGGGAGGTGGATGACCTCGCTCCCTGGAGCCCTCGGAAGACGAGGGAGAGGAGGACTGAAGACGAGGATGAGGGTGAGTTGGAGGAGGAGGCGGGAAGCGGGGAGAAGGAGGACTGATAGGGGAGACCGCACTTGCATGTTGTACATCGTCGTTTCCCTCATGCTTTACACGGTTTCACCATGCGGCATGTCCTATCGGTGTGCTCATGCTAACTTTGGCATGTTCGACCACCATTGAGGTAAAAGGGTATGCGATTAGAGAGCGCACGCGAATATACCTATTTTCGCACAGGCTGCCAATGAACGCAAATGCGACGCTGGAACAGGGAGCCAAAAGAGATAAAGCACGGGCTCATATTTGGCACACGGACACCTGTGTCAACAATGATGCCGCCATCCCCTCACTCCTGTTAAGTGGGAAGGCGCAGGCAGCATACTCTTACGAGAAAGCGCCCTGGCGCACAACTGGCAAGGACAAACATGCTACAACATGTTCTCATCCAGGGTGGCTCAAACCAACCGCGCCTGAGAACAATGAAGAACGTTGAGAAGAAGATCAGTTGAAACATGGGCGGCCCTTCATGTCGAAAGCGAGGAGGGGAAGGAAGAGAAAGATAAATGGCAATAGCCCTATTTTGATAACGATCCGCACTCCGTCCGTGCCGATGCTGCTTTTTTGTCAAGACGAGTGGGTGTGCGCGGTGCCAAGGTGAAAACCACATTTTGGAAACGAGTCGTCATCTGTCATTGCATCGATTGCTGAGGGGGTGCGCTTTGGGCAGAAATTCAAGGGGAACCAAGCAATGGCACCGAGAAGACACCCGGAGGCTCAGCAAGGGCGAAACCAACCTCAACGCTCCGAACCTCGAACTTCGACCTCGAACCTCGACCCTCGAATTTCGAGCTTCCAACCTCGCCCTCTCCTGCGTCCGTGCCCTCACGCCGTCAGCAGCTTGTCCACGCTGACCTCTCGGCCAGACGCACAGAGTGACCCTGGGCAAGAATGATCTTTGGTGCGCGGCCAGCGCGGGGGGGGGGACGTGGGCCCGTGGCTCCGCGCCACATGTCACAGGGTCGGTCGGCCTTCGGACACCCCCCCGAACGCTCTCGGCGAAGCGCAGCTGCTGGAACGCACCCCGCGGCTGGAGAACCGTCGCGAACGGACGAAAACGTCCAGTGGGCCCACACCAGAAGATCACTCCGACGAAGGGTGCGGGGCAACGATAAGAGGGGGATATTGGAATCGGCGATACATCGCCGACAGATCGGCGATGAGCCCCCGATAACGAATCCGCATGGTCCCGGGCGAGGCGGCGGAATGAAGCCTCCATCGGCGATCCATGGGCGATTGGGGTTCGATGCGCCCCCTCCCCTCCCAACGCTGCCCCCTGGTTTTCGGACCAGGACTCGGCTCTCCTGCGGCCGTCCGGGACGACCCGGGCACCCCCGGAACGCTCTTGGCGAGGCGCAGCTGCTGGAGAAGGTCCCGAGGCTGGAAAGCAGCCGAGAACCTATGGAAGCGTAAAGCAAGCACTCGAACTTCGAACCTCGAACCTCGACCTCCGAACCTCGAACTTCCAGCCCACCCCCCGCTAACGCTGCCCCCGAAACGGGCCACTCTGGCGCGCCGTCGAGCCTCCTCCATCAAGGACTCCGCCTTCTCCCCGTGGAGGCGGTGAGCCTGCGCCTGCCGAGGCGGTGCGCCACTCCCGCGCCTCCTCCATCCTCCGCCTCCCTCCCTCCTGCCTCCCTTCCTCCCTCCCTCCCTCCCTGCTCCTCCTCCTCCTCCTTCTCCTCCTCCTTCTCCTCCTCCTCCTCCTCCTACTCATCTTCCTCTTCTCCTCCCCCCTTCCCTTCCCCCCCCCTTCCTCCACATCCTTCCTACGTCCTCCCTCTTCCCTCGTCTTCCCGCCCTCCTCCTCCTCCTCCTCCACCACCCTCCTCCTCTCCTCCTCCTCCTCCTCTCTTATCACCCTCCCTCCTCCTTCCTCCCCCCTCTATTTCCTCCTCCTTCCTCCCCCCTCTATCCTCCCTCCTCCTCCTCTTCCTCCTCCTCCTCCTCCTCCTCCTCCTCCTCCGTCAAGCCCTTCAAGATACGGATCGTTTTGTCGATGGAGACTGAGACTGCTCTTCTCGCGGATTTCAAGAGGGGCGAGCATCAGGAGCGGCGCCCCTCTGCTGACATGCCCCCAGATGTGAAGGCCAATTTCATGGACTCAGTTGGCCAGATCTTGCTCGGGGGTTGCTAAGGTGCCCCTGGCACAAGGTGCTCCCAGCTTTTCGCTCAATGTTGGAGCCCCTGGGGCCATCTGGGAGTCGTGAGGGGTGCCCTGAAGGCCGTGGGGCCTCCTTGGAAATCCTGAGGGCACCTTGGGCCAGGGGCACTTCTAGCAGCACCCGACTTGCACTGGCTGCCACCGCCAAAGCTAGATGAGCTGTGCCGACTCTGCTGAGCTCTCCCCCCGTCGGCACGAGGCAGCGCGCTCCGCCGGGCAGGTTTTTTTTACGATGAGCCAGGGCAATGGACCTCGACGGGACACCGAGATCACTCGGGCAGTCTGTTTTGGACGAGCATCGACATACTAGTACTTTCTGTCCTCCTCGGAGGCGCGCGTCTGACCCGAACATATAGTACACGCATCTTGTAGTATATCGTTTCCCGAGCGGTGTGACCAGAAAGCGCCCGCCATGACGCACATACTATCAGATTTCTTGGTGCGTGCGTCGCCCCAGGGGGGAGATGCACACATAGCACAAATATGTTGGGGGGACGCCGATGTTTGTGCACGCGTGTTGTCGAACATGCCTGACTCTGGTGTCATCCTCCACCCGATACCAGCGTCAACCTGCCCGCGCGGGCAACCTGCATTCATTAGCCGTTCAGCTCTGGCGGGCTCGCCACCTTTCAGCACAACGCAACACCTCGCTGGCAGCTGCAACCCGCGCCGCATGCTCAGCCCTCTGGCGCTCACAGTTATTTGGCGGCCAAATGCGAACCATACCCCTACCCCCCACGGTTTCCGAGGGGGAGGGTGGGGTTCACTCCGCTCGGGAGCTCCCGAGCGGAGTGAACCCCATCTTCCCCCTTAGAAATCGTGGGGGGTAGGGGTAGGGTTCGCATGTGGCACCCGAGTTATGGCAGCATCCTCAAGGCTCCCAGCTGCGGGAATCGTCTTAGACGATGTGCTGCCCTGGATTTAGGACGCTTTGGTAGCACGCAACCTGTATCAAAATTGTCGTGCGTGTGCCCGCCAGTGAGCGGGTCTTCGCATCTTGGCGGGATACCGCCGTTCTGCTACGACGCCACTACGCGGAGCCGCGAACAAGTTTTGCCACCCTAACATCGTACCGCTCGCCCGTTCTAGGCGGGGACGCCTATGCGCGACTCCGAGAGAGGCACTGGAATGGGTTACCTTTCAGCGCCGACTTCCATTCGCACTTGCTCTTAGCGTCAGCGAGGGTGGATCGGTTCTGCTGATGCCCGCACCGATGGGCGCGGACACGCCAAATACTTGCCACCACAGCGTGGACAACAATTCACGGCTGTCGCAAGGAGCTCTCGATACATCCATTTTCTGTGACACTCTAGCGTCAACGCTTGTCGCCCACCGGGATCTGCAAACATACATGTTTCAGCACTCTACCAATTGGCGTCACAAAGATAGCGAGCAACACCGATCTAGGAAAAAACAATCCCACAAAATCCGCGGACCCTGTCGGCATGTGTGAGGGGCTTGTCCATTCGAGTCGTCGTCTCCGTCATTCGTTAGTCGTCGTCTCTGTCGTTCCCTTTCCCTGCGGCCCCCATTTCCTTGGGCCCGTCGCCGCTAGTTCCACTTTTCCTGGGCCCTCCTCCTCAACCGCGCCAGCCAAAGCGGAATTGAGCAACGTCGTAATTCAGTCGAACGGAAGCCGCTTTCCTCTGATCCCTCCTCCGTCGAGGGGGGGCGTCCCCGGGGATGTCCCGGGGGTGGTCCCATGGGGTTCCGGGGGGGGGGGGGGTCGTTACCCAAATAAGTCTCCCCCCCGGGGGGTCCTGGGTCCCCCATTACGGTCCAAGAGGGCCCCGAATCGCCGAACGATCTGTCTAAGACGCCTCGACGGCCTCCAAACGGCACATGAGGCCTGCAAGACGCCCCAAGAGGCCCCCAGAAGCACTTCCAAGAAGGCCCCCAGAGGCACAATTCATCAATTTCCCGTAGGTTTTTGAATGATTTTGGCGTTCTCGCCTCTTCTGCTTCCCGACGCTCCAAGACGGCCCAACAGGCCCCCAAGATCGCCCCAAGACGGCTCAGTCCTCCAAGAGGTTCCCAACATGGGCCAAGAAGGCCCCAGATGGCCCGAGACGCCTCCAAGATAGGCCAAGAGGCACCCAAGACGGCTCCAAGAGTGTGCCCAGACGGGGGACCCGATCGGAAATTTTGAGCCCTCGCCCCCGAGAAGCTTTCAGGATGCCCCAGGAGGCTTCCAAGACGCCCCCAGGCAGCAGGAAGCCCCCAGGAAGCCCCTGGAGGCCCCCAAGAGGCTCCCAAGAGGGCCCCACGGGTCTCCCCAATTGCCCCCAAAATGCCCACCAGAGGCCCCCGACCGCGCTCCGAATAGACCCCGACACGCTTTCCCTCCCCCACCTGCTCCTCACCCTCCTCCTCCTGTTCCTCCGCCACGTCTTCATCGTCCCCCACCTGTTCATTGCCCTCCTCGACCTCCTCCTGCCCCAACTCCCCCTCCTCATCCTCCCCCGCCTGCTCTTCTTTCTTCTCCCTCTCCTGCTCCACCGCGTTCCCCTCCTGCTCCTCCTCCTGCTTCCAAGAGGCTCCCGAGAGGCTCCAGGACCCCCCCAAACCGCCTCCAAGAGGCTTCCGAGAGGCCTCCCAATGGATGCCCATATTCATCCACGAGGCCTCTGACGGACAACCCCAGCGCGGTGACGGGATGAACCAAAGACCACTCGGTATGTGTTGTTTGAGGAACCTGTTGTGTAGGTGTAGTTACTTGTCGTCGGCGCCTTGAGCGGCGTGCCCTGCGGTTTCCCCCATGCCTCAACGGGCCGCCCCGAGACTCCGGAAAAAGACGCACGGCACCTAGCCCTGGCAACCCTGGCTGCAGCGCACAAAGCGCACCGCCTGCAAAGGAGGAGACGGCTTTAACATCAATGGGACGAGGTAATCGCTAAGGGCTCAACGACTTCAGTTGTCCCTGGACTCGCGCTGGAGCTTCCACGATTCGTTCCCGACTCATCTGGGTATCTCTGGATCTACCTCGGTCCATGTGGGCTTATGTCGGACTGCATCGACTTGCGCCGATTTGTCCAGCTCAATCCTGCAGGTCGATTGGCGAAGAGGCGTCAAGCCCATAGGAGAGTAGCTTTAACATCTCGAACGCACATACCTTCGGGGTCTGCGACGATCTCTTTGGTCGGCGCTGGACTCCCCTCCCTGGCACGCGGAGCCCGTCGCCGGGGGGCCCGGCGCCGACCCAAGACTCGCACCGACCTATGAACACTCGTGACTGTGCAAGCCTGTCACTCCGATTGCCCTCGATGGGAAAACCAGCGCACCAGGAAGCTGGAAGCACACGAGGCTGGACTCACATGTTTGAAAGGGGCCCTGGGACACACAAATGACAGGATTCCCCATATTTTCCAACATTTCCCCCAACTCCCATGTTTTCCTATGTATCTTCTTGGGAATCGACGATTGATCGTGTCTGTGTGTTTTTTCCCCTCCTGAATGCTCCTTTGGTTGCTGGGCTCATGGGTGGGACATGCGGAGGCCGCGCGCCGGGTACACATGCGGAGGGGGCCGAGAGCTGCAGAGACGCCTGGCCGCACGCGTGTCCAGCTCTCGCCCAGGCCGGCCACGTCATGTCTGTCCAACGTCCTGGCAATTCAATACACACTCGAGGGCAGGGGGCGGGGCCTCGGACGCGGCCGGTGACCGGCCCCCCCCATCCCCCCAGGTGCGGAAGCGCCCGCCTGCATGGTCCTCCAGGCCGCGTTCCCTGGCGGCGGCGTCGCTCTGGTCTGCCACCGCTCTGGCCGCCTCTCATCCCTAGCGCCCGCCCCTCACCCCCGCCTCCCCTCCCCTCCCCTCCCTCTCCCTTCCCTTCTGTTGAACATGCAGCCTTCTTTCTATAGGCATCCTGGCTCAGAGAAGCAGGGGCGCCCCAGACGGACGTCCGCTTGGGGCCCGCAGGAAAACCAGATGATCAGAGGCTGACGCCGAGGCCATGGATCAGCATTGGTAGAGAGAATCAGCCCATAGAAACACGGACGCAGATGCGGAGAAGATCGTGAGCTCAGGAGCAACTCATGATGGCATCGAATACTTCAGCAGGCGGTCCCAAGGACCGCATCTTCACGGCGGAGACTCTGGACCCGCGCGAGTACAAGAGATGGAAGCAGTGGGCTAAGGCTTGGCTGCTCAGGAGTAGTTTACAGGCAGCAGACAAATGGCCCTCTGCCCCACACGTTCTTCGATGGCCTTGCGCAGGCCATGTTCGACGACATAGATGTGGACGGCGCTCTGGCAGCGGAAGGTGGAGAGCACGTCATCTTCCAGCGGCCCGACCAACGATGTCCAGATAGTGAGTCAGCAGACTGGCTGGCAGAGGCGCTCGACGCAGTCTACGACTTGAAGTTGGGGCGATACGTCAGGCGAACGCTGCAGGTGTTCGTGAAAGCGCATCAGGAGGGATCGGCATTCCCAAAGGAAGCTCGGGGTCACGCGCTGTTGGGTGGGGCCCGACTCGAGCCGACGGACCCTACACCGATGCTGGCGGCGGCAGCGCTACGCACGACGTACATAATGAGGCCCAGACAGAATCATCGTGCAATTCACTTGGTGGATGAGGAGCCGGCGCTGCTGGAGGACGACGGCTCTGTCGAAGAGGCTGCAGTGCAGGCGCTGCTTGCGGAGAGAGATGATGACGCCATTCCTGAGGATGAGGTTCTGGATGCGAGAGGCGCTGGACGTGCTGGCGACCTGGCCGAAGAACCCTGGGACATGGAAGGAAGTTCGGACGGCGATCAACAACACCAAGTTGGGCAGGAAGTTCGGCAACAGCAATGGCAACAAAGCCCGCTGGACGAGGCGAGGAAGCGCACGAAGTACTTCAACTGCAAGAAGGTGGGCCATTTCGCACGAAATTGCCCGGAGCCGCGACGAAAACCACCACCATCGGCATCGTCCAGTGCGTCAAGGCCAGCCCGTTCGGTACGGTTCTGTTCAGCCTTTTGGGTGACCTCTGTCGGGGAATACCGTGGTGTGTGATTCAGGAGACGTTGGAAGCTAGTCGTGTGAAGAAGACGTCAGTGGCATCACCCATCGATCAGCTGGAGAAAGCTCCTGACATGCCAGAGATGACGACCAAGACAATGAATTTCACCATCGACGAGTGCCAGGGGTGTCTCGCCAGCGGATGTTCGAAGGGCATCGTGGGGTGTTCAGGTTCGGTAAAAACGACACCCACATGTCCAAGAGGAAGGTGCGGATATCGCAGTGGATTGGTTACGTGCTGGTGCGGACGTGCGTGCACATCGTTCTGGGCATGACCCAGCTGCTGCTGTCGAAGCGGTGGACGAAGGACCTCGGGGGCCACCTGAATATCGAGAAGCACGTGATCGAGTTCGCGGCGATAGGGCAGAAGGCGCAACTGACGACCAGTGGTAGCGAGGAGGACGGGCACTACGTGTTGGAAATGTGCACGCCCCGAACCGTGCGCTGGTGCACGGCTCGAGGGGTCGGGGCACAGGGTGAGACAGGAGGACAACCTGACTGAGGTTAAGCCTGTGGCGCTGAGCAATGAGGAGGGGATGAACCTAGAGGCCCTGGCGGCTCGAGCTCGAGTGGACAACCGGAGCGACATCGGGATCCTGAGCTGTTCTCGCCACTGAACGGCACAGGCGGCGGCGGCCGCAGGAGCCACGAATCTCGGCGCTTTCGACCTGAAGATGGGCTGGGACCTGGATCAGAGCAGTGTGAGGACAGAGGTCGAGAGGATGGTGGATAAGAAAAAGCCATGGCTGATCATGCTATCCCCTCCATGTACGATGCTGTCCAACCTTCAGAATCTCAGCCCAGTCCCCAAGGACGTGCGCGAGCGGATCAAGCAGTACAAGAAGGCTGTCGGTCAAGTGAACTGGTGTGTCAAGTTCGCCAAAAGGCAGATGGAGCTCGGTGGTCTCTTCCTCTTCGAAGCTCCACTGGGAGGTGTAACCTGAACGCTGGATGAGACGAGGCCGTTCCTTGCGAGGCACCGGGAGGAGAACCTCTACGTGGTGAAGAACGCTGGGTGCGCGCTTGGACTGAAGCAGAGGTGCCAGTTCCTGTCAAACAATGCGATGCTCGCGGAGACAGTGAAGACATTATGCACAGGAGGCCATGAACATGTCCATGCCCTTGGGGTGAGGAGGAACGGAGTGAAGCGCAAGTTCACGGACGTTCCCGAACCCGCTGTTGATGCGCATCGTGTAGGGAGCGCTGGCGTCCTGGGATGCACGCAAGACGGTGAAGGTGTTGGCGGCGGCGGCCGAGAAGGGAGCCCTTCTTCGAGCAGGAGACGTCGCAGGTGCAGAGGACGCTGTATCGCAAGACGCGGGTGCAACACTACTACATTCCTTGCCTGGAGAAGATGGCTCGGAGACCACGAACCTAGGACCCATCATGATGGACGGCATCGAGAAGGACGGTACTGCCGAGGTGGATCGGGCGGCAGGCGACGCCCATGAGCAGCACGCTGAGGCGGAGGTGCACGGCCAGTGGTTCGCACGGATCTTCAAGAAGGTCATCGAGAACAGGGAGATCACGAAGGAGGATTGGCTCGAATGGGTGGTCAAGGGGGGCGACTTCGTGGCGTTCTGGAGAAAGGGCAATGGCAATTCGGAGAAGGCGGCTAAGGCGAGATGGAGAGAACTGGCGCGAGTCGTGGGACGACCGGGGAACAATTACATCATCGCGTTCGGCGGTCAGTGGTTGTTGGCAACCCCGTGGCAGCTGCGACCAAGATCGAGGGAGGGGATCATCGCCTGGGACCTGGAAGATGATCTCCTGTCGCCGGAGGCGATCGCTACGGCGCTGGGCAGAGCCAGGCAACCCGGACATACGGACATCACAGAAGAGGAGATTCCACCGGAGGCGAAGGCGTCCTGCGACGCGGAGGTGGAGCAGCCGAACTGGGGAGGACGAGCCAGATGGGGCCGTGGCCAACGCGGCTCGGGCAGAGTCAGATCAACTGGCGAATGCAGGAGGAGCTCGAGGGTACGTGAAGCCGGAGGTCGACCGATGGGAAGGACGTCAGTCGGCGTCGCGCCCAGGGCGGAAGTAAGAAGGAGAAGGCCATCTCAGCAGGTTCGGAAATCCCCGGCCTTCTGGGAAACTTGCTAAACCTTCCCCGAATACACGGAAAACTTCTCAGAAGGCTGGAGGGCTTCTGAGAAGCCCCGCCGCCTTATGAGAAGGCCTTCTCCTTCTCACTTCCCCCCTCGCTTGCCGCCGAGTCAAAGATGAGCTCGAGAAGGTCAAGGACGTTCGCGATCGCCCCCCTCCAGGGCGACGTCGTCGACAGCAGCGGACGGAACTGGGGATCCCGCCGAGAGACGGCAAGAGCCGGGCGACATCGGCCCAGTGGCCGAAGCCATGAAGGACGTGACTGCGGATGAGGTCCAGGGGCGGAAGCGACTGAGCGTGAACACTACAATCGAGGATGACCAGCCGAAGAAGAACCAGTGTATACGGAGGTGCTGTTCGTGGCTCAGGAAGAGATTGAAACAACGAAGCACGCGCTGATGGCTTTATCTTCCGGCTCGAGGAGGATTGCGGTGCGCCCTGCCACGCGGAGTAGCCCAGTCTGAGACTACCCAGAGTGCTTGCAGAGTGCCTCATGGTGGTCAAGAGACTGGGGGAAGACGCAATCGAGGTGGATCAGGCGTGCTTAACCACCAAGGGCCGGAAGGAGCTCAGGGAGGCAAGAGCGGCCCCAGAGCTCAAGAATAAGAAACATAATAGAAATAATGAGAAGAAAAAGAAACTCGACGAGGCCAAGGCAGTCGAGTGGAAAAATATCCATCAGGAAAAACAAGCGGTCACGGAGCTGAGCCTTGAGGAGTCGAAGAAGGTACGTTCAACGTGCCCAGATCGCATTCTGAAGTCCTTGTATGTTCTGGTCGAGAATGTTGGAGGAGTGGTCAAGGCAAGCCTTCCTGTCAAGGAGTTCGGAGATCCTGATCTGCTGAATTTAACGGAGCAAGGTGACACGGATGCGCCGACGGTGAGCCAGAATGTGAGAGCCATGGCGCTGCAGCTGAGAGCGACAAGCTGGATCGGCCTGGAGGACCGCTGTACATGTCTCAGCCCCCAAGTGGAGTGCCAGAAATACCGGATGACGCGCTGATTCGCATGGGCCTCCGGCTGTACGGGCTGAACGACGCGCCGAAGCGATGTATCAGGAAGTTCGTGTCGGTGGCCAAGGAGGTGGGGCTGACGCAGTCCAGGTTGGACTCTTGCATGTTCTTCTGTCATGGCGAAGAGGGCAAGCTGAAGGGCATCCTGGTCACCCACGTGGACGACGTCATCACCGGTGGCGAGGGCGACACGTACGAGGTGACTGTGAAGCACCTGCGGCAGAGCCTGCCATGCAGGAAGTGGAAGATCGGGGAGGGCAAATCCTGCGGCTCCCAGGTGAAGCGGGGTGACGATTTCAGCATCGAGGTGTCGTAGGCGCCGTTCGCCCAGGGCATGAAGATGCTGAGGGTTGACTGGGCGGTCCCCGACGAGCGCGAGCTGAGTCCAAAAAGAAAGAGATCTCAGCGTGCCAGGAGGCGCTGGGCCACGGCAACTGGCTCCAATCCCAGACGCGCCTGGACTTGGCCGTGCAAGTACACATGGCCCAACAACAGATGGGCCATCCAACTGTGGCGACCCAAAACGCAATCAATTAGATGGTTCGTCGTGCCCGCCAGTTTGCAAATATGTCCATCACGCTCCGTCCTACTCCCTCGGCAA